TTTTTTTAGTTTTTATGTTTTCGTCCGTTTTGTGTTGGTTGTGTTCGTTTTGTTTTTCTCTTGTGTTTTTTGTTTGGGTCGTTGCCCTCTGTGAGCCCGGCTGAGTGCGGGTAGCATCCCTTTAGGATTGTTTTTATTCTCCTTTTGGGAGCTTTATTGTTTTTTAGTGTTTGTTGTGTTGTGAGTCTTGTCTTTTGATTTCTAGCTTTGCTAGTCTCAGTTCTAGGCGGTCTTTTGACCTGTCCTCCCAGTTTTTCAGTTGTTGGTTGTATCATTCAGCTAGGGGTTGTAAATTTGCACATTTGTGCATTTTGATTATAATATTTTCTATCGTTCTTGGAAAAAAAAAAGAAAAGATTCGATTCATGTTTGGACATTTTGTCGAACACTTGGCCTACACAAGCCATCAAGGTAAGGATAACATGATTTACTCCATGTTCTGAAACCAAACCGAACCTGCCGGTCCAACCGGTTTAATCGGGAACCGTCCGTTCATCGGTCCGATTCTCCAGAACAAACCGCCTGCAAACAAAATCGGTCAATGGCCGGTTGAATTGTTTAAAACCGGCCCAAAACCAGTAGAATGGACCAGACAGTACTTTTTTATCTTTTGAATTGTAGATTTACTGTGACAGATTTATAAAGCAACTCCCCTATTACGTGAACCGATGGGACAAGCAATTCCAACTGTTTGCGAGGAATTTTCATTTTCCATTGTTTTATGCTATTATTTTATTCCATAATTTTGTTGTGGGAGGAAATTTTGTTTTGTCATAGTTTTGTTATATTATTTTTATTATTTCACAAGACAAGCTCTCGCGATAATGTATATGACTATAATGTTAGGGTCCGATTGGTTGGAAAAGGCTGATTAGGCTTGATATAATATTTTTAATTGTATCAAAGGCTATTTTATAACTCAACTACCCCATTAACTTATTTGGTTGGGGGTTGATAATTATAACTGTAACAGCTCAGTCAACCCGTAGTAGGATATTGTCCGCTTTGGGTATACACCAGATCTTCTCGATTTATGCGTGTCATCCTTGCGCAGGGGCCGTGATAAAATTGGAACGATACAGAGAAGATTAGCATGGCCCCTGCGCAAGGATGACACGCATAAATCAAGAAATGATCTAGTGTATACCCAAAGCAGACAATATCCTACTACGGGTTGACTGGGCTGTTACAGTGGTATCAGAGCCAGTACCCGGATCGTTGTGCCAGCGAGGACGTTGGGCCCTCCAAGGGGGGTGGGTCAGATATCCCACATCGGTTATGAAGGAGAACGAAGCATGCCTTATAAGTGGTTGTGGATACCTTCACTAGTAGGATGCGTTTTGGTGAGCTAGCTCCCAGAGGCAAAACCGTGAGGGAATGATCTGGTGTATACCCAAAGCGGAAAATATCCTACTACGAGTTGACTGGGCTGTTACAGATCAGATATCCCACATCGGTTGTGAAGGAGAACGAAACATGCCTTATAAGTGGTTGTGGATACCTTGACTAGTAGGACGCGTTTTGGTGAGCTAGCTCCCAGAGGCAAAACCGTGAGGGAATGATCTGGTGTATACCCAAAACGAAAAATATCCTACTACGGGTTGACTGGGCTGTTACAGTGGTATCAGAGCCAGTACCCGGATCGATGTGCCAGCGAGGACGCTGAGCCCTCCAAGGGGGGTGGATCAGATATCCCACATCGGTTGTGAAGGAGAAAAAAGCATGTCTTATAAGTGGCTGTGGATACCTTCACTAGTAGGACGCGTTTTGGTCCCAGAGGCAAAACCGTGAGGGAATGATCTGGTGTATACCCAAAGCGGACAATATCCTACTACGGGTTGACTGGGCTGTTACAATAACTTTCGAACTAAGATTACTTTTTTACCCCTAATTTACAATTAAATTTTCAATTCTTGCCCTAAATTTTTCCCCAAGTTTCAAGACCTTCACCCATTCACTCAGGAGAAGATTTTCGAATCCTTTACTTATGTTCTCTAACGCCATAAAATGGGACCTTGTGAAGACCACCAACAACAAGTATATAGAGAAAAGTATAGAGATAAAAACTAGAAAACAACCTTTCCGTAACAAGCCACCACAACCGAGAATGGCCGACTACAAAACAGTGAACTGAATGAAACGAAATTATTTTCAATTACTCACGAACCATCTTCAAAACCCTCGAGCAAAATTTCATCTTGAAAGTCCTCATCAACCGCGGTCACTTCCTCGACAACGGAAGGGCTCACAACTGGCTCGCGCTGCGCGTTTTTCTTCCTCGCATAGGAAATGGAGGGTCTTTTCAGTGTCGACTACAAAACCACCTCCGCAACCTCGAGAGAGAACTCGTCCGCCGTGGTGGTGGTCGTCGCCGTGGGAGAGCTTGACGATGAAAACAATTTTATCTCCATTTTTTTAGGCAGAAAATATTGGGTATTTATGTAATTTTTAATGGAAAAAAGGGGATGGAAAACACATCCTACCCTTTAGGTGGGATATGGTATAAAGAAAAAGAGGGATAGAAAATCGGGTCATGCCACATTTCAAGGGATTCACTTGTTTCAACCAAACAACATAATGGGAGTGATTTAGTATGAAAGTGGGTGATATCAAGCATAATCAAGCTAACCAAACGGGCCCTTAGTATATATATGACCCTAAATTTGATTATAAACATGAAAATGCATATATATATATAATTATATATATATATATATTAGTTTTTGTAATTATCCAAATTTTTACTCAGTTTTTATCCATTGGTTGATTAAACCAAAGACTAGTTGGACCAGTTTTTAAAAATTAAGTTAACTATATTTATTGAATATTTTATATATTAAACAATCAATAAATTAAATAACTTAAACATTAAGTTAATTATATTTATGAAACATTAAATATTTAAAAATATCACTAAATTAAATAACTGTCCAACCGGTTCGATCACTGGTCAGACCAGTGAACTATTGAACCGGTAGCTTAACCGGTTCAACGACCGTTCTGGTTTTCAGAACATTGGATTTACTGGTTGTTTGCCCTATTTCCATTTTATCAATAGATTCTTTATAACAATTGGTGAAACTGTTTTAGGGGCGACCGAGTCTAGTTCGATATTTAAACCATCAAAATATAAGCAAAAGGCCATTGTGAAACATCTAATCTCTAACTCACGACTCATAACATTTGATTTCTATGTCAGCATACATCTGTGACATCCAATTGTAAGTCGATTGAAAATTACCAGAAAATCCAAGTAAAGAGTCTGATAGAGATCATGAAGAAGTCGAGAATTGGATCTCAAGAGAGACAGAGAAGAGTTGGATTTCGTTCTAATTTTTTATACTGGAAGTGAAAGAATAACATAATTTGCCATATATTATATTTAGTATAACTATAGAACTTAGCATTTTCTTTTTTTTTTTTCTTATAAATTCGACTCAGTTCAGTAATAACCAAGATTTAGAAAAACAACATCATTTAGATTTTGGTTGTCGAAAATTTCGATTAAAATATGTACAATATTGCCTAGTTTCTTCTAAATTGACTCGAGAATCTTCTCGAGTCGGCTCGGCAGGAGGTGTCTTTTATAACAAACGGGAGGCGGTGGATAGTAGTGATGCATTTCGTCGTGACCCGGAGAGTAATAACCAAAATCAACTTGAGATGGTGGGTAAGAATGACTCGGATACATATAAGGCAGCCCTCCATAAGGGTACATCTCCGCATGATAGTTGTCGGGGTATCCATGAGACGAGCTACCGGCATAAGAATAACCATACGGATCCATCGGAGCTCTTCAAGCAAAATACCTCGCGCAAGAAGAACAAAACAACCAAGGCACACTAGACCAAGAAACGAAAAGCACAAAAACAAAACTAAAAGGACACAATATTTATGAGAACACTCCTACCAAAAAGCATTAGAAATAAAAAAATAAGCCAATAAGCAAGAGAAACGCGCAAAATCAAGCAAAATCCACAACAAGCAAGAGAAACATGGAAAAAAGAGACAACTAGATAGTAAACTTGGCGTCCTACTTGCCTTTCCCGGCAACGACGCCATTTTGTTTGTAGTTTTTGTGGGCATGTGGTAACCGAGCTACCCAACTCAGGTCGTTCTCAAAGGAAGCCTGTTCGGAGCTTCGTTCACTACCTAGTCGTCAAAGTCACATAACCGGAAACAAGGTCCTACACTTTCTACTCGCTTGAATGGATTGATTGCACGAAATTACGCCAAGCAGATGAAAGCAAATCATGCAAAAGGCTAATAGAGAGAGAAAGATCAAAACTTGTTATTGTGTATATTTGTGTATTTACCGTATTAGCCTTAGGTTATTTGTAGCCCTAGTTTCGTGTATATATTCTTGATTTCTAGAGAGTTGTATCATTCGATTGTGATGATGCTTTTCCCGAATTCATCTCGTCTCCTTCGTATCATGGTATCAGAGACCTGATATTTTTTTCGGATCACAAATTTCTTTTTCCTGTTTAATCCGATTGCCTTCGTCGCGTCGGCTTCATCCATATTGTTTATCTGTTACTTTCATCCCTGTTTCTGTTAAATGGATCAAAAAAAAAAGAGTATCGAGAATTGTTTAGGCGAATTGTTCAATTGTTTGCTGCTATCAAAATTGTTACCATTTTGTTCAATTGTTGGCCAACTTGTTCAATTGTTCGCTGCTATCACAACAAAAAAAAAAAAAAAAAACTTCCTTGAATTGTTGGGGCGAATTGCTTTCCAATTGTTTGTGGGCCTTGCTGTGAGTTATCAAGTCCCAATTTCCACTGAAGATTCCATCGAGAACCAAAAAAAAAAAAGAAAAAAAAAGGCATAGTCTGAGGAGTTCCAATGGCAGATTCTTCCACATGGGCCCAAGGTAGCGCCGAAATTGCAGGGCACCGTACTAGTGGTCGTCCCAAATGTTCTCATTGTGGCCGAATGGGTCATCTTGTTCCTACTTGCTTTGAGATAATTGGATATCCGAAATGGTTCGGTTCTAGTGGTGGAGTCGCTGCGAGAGTGGTGTTCGTGTGAATGCGGCGTTCTCCAGTGGTATTGGTGATTCGTTTGTTGCCGGTTCTGTTGGTTTTTCCACTGCTAGTGGAGCTTTGAGTGATTATGATCGTCTTGCTCTTGGCGGTTTAACCAATGAACAATGGTCTCATTTTGTATCTTTGGTAAATTCGGCTAAACAAAATAATTCCTTGTCTGATACACATCGTTTATTTGATTGGATGTACGATAGTGGGGCAACTCATCATATGACAGGATTCCTAGAGTTTCTTTCTGATGTTCAAGATATTCCTGCCCGTTCTGTTCAACTGCCTAATGGTTCATTGACTATGGTTACTAAGGCTGGGACTGTTTATTTGGAATATCATATCACTCTTTATGATGTTTTACACGTTCCCAGCCTTCGCTGTAGCTTGATTTCATTATATCAGTTGCTCGATCGTTCCAATTGCACTGCTCAGTTTACTAGCAAATTCTGTGTTATTCAGGACCGCATTTCGCAGAAGGTGATTGGCGCGGGTGAGTAGTTGGGCGGTCTCTACTTCTTTTGAGGGATGGTTTCAGCTGCAGTTTCTTGTGTTCGGAAGGTTTCTGCCGATGTGTGGCATCAACGTTTTGGTCATCCGTCTGCTCAAGTATTGTCTCAGGTTTCTGTTATTGATTCGAGTTCTCGTAATTTGCATAAATCGTGTGATGCTTGTTTTCGCGCTAAACAACATCGTCGTAGTTTTCTCAGTCAGACTGTTAGTAACGAGACTTTTCATTTGATTCATTGTGATTTGTGGGGTCCGTATCGTGTTCCATCCTTCTGTGGTGCACGGTATTTTTTGACTATTGTGGATGATTGTTCTCGTGGGACATGGGTTTATTTATTGAATGATAAGACGGAGGTTGCTTCCACATTGTTGAAACTTTGTTTCTATGATTAAGCGACATTTGATAAATTGGTGCGTGTTGTTCGTACTGATAATGGAAGTGAGTTCATGTGTTTGACCTCTTATTTTCGTCGTCAAGGGATTCTGCATGAGACTTCTTGCGTAGGCACCCCTCAGCAGAATGGGCGTGTGGAACACAAACATCAACATATTCTCAATGTAGCTCGTGCTTTACGTTTCCAAGCTCATCTGCCTATTCCTTTTTGGGGTCATTGTGTTTTGACTGCGGTGTACTTAATAAATCGGACTCCTTCCTCGGTTTTACATGGTAAAACCCCATATGAGATTCTTTATGGTTCGACTCCTTCCTTGTCTCATTTGCGGGTTTTTGGTTGCCTTCATTATGCTCATAACCAAGATCGTAATGGTGACAAGTTTGCTTCTCGGAGTCGTCATTGTCTATTTGTCGGTTACCCGTTTGGCAAAAAAGGGTGGAATTTGTATGATTTGGATCGTCAGATTTTCTTTGTCGCTCGTGATGTGGAGTTTCTTGAGACTGAATTCCCATATCAGTCAGACTCTTCTGAGCAGATTCTTTGCCACCACCTCTTGTTGTGCTAGTTTCTTCTGCACCGGAAGATGATGAGGATCTTCCGGTTGCCTCTTTGCCTCATGTTTCTCCTGATACTAGGTCTTCTGCTACTGATTTGGACACGTCTGACGACAGAGGGGGTTCCGTTACTACTACCCCTCCCACTCTTCAAGTGGAGATTTTGGGTCGTGGTCATCGGACTAAGGTTCCTTCCACTCGGCTGTAGGATTTTGTGGTTGACACTGTTCGACCCTCGAATGTACTCCCAACTGCTTCTCCTCATTCATCTCCATCCTCCGGTACACCTTATCCCATAGCACATTATGTTTCTTGTGATTCATTGTCTCCAGCTCATCGAGTTTTTTTGCTGCTGTCGCCTCTGTTGCTGAGCCTCGCACTTTTCCCGATGTCGTGACTGATCCTCGATGGTGAGCTGCTATGCAAGATGAAATTCGTGCCTTAGAGAATAATGGTACGTAGGATGTAGTTTCTCTTCCATGTGGGAAGCGTGCGATCGGGTGCAACTGGGTCTTTAAGATCAAGCATAAGTCTGACGGTTCCATTGAGCGCTATAAAGCGCGTTTGGTGATTTTGGGTAATAATAAGGTGGAAGGTCTTGACTATCATGAGACGTTTGCTCCCGTCGCCAAAATGGTTACAATCCGGTTATTCTTGGTTGTGGCTGCTGCTAAGCATTGGGAAGTTCGCCAGATGGATGTTCATGGTGATTTGGCTGAGGAGGTTTACATGAAGTTTCCCCCTGGTTTTCGCTCTGCCATTGATGGCCAGGTTTGTCGTCTTCGTCGTTCCCTCTACGGCTTGAAGCAGGCTCCTCGCTGTTGGTTTGCCAAGTTGTCTACGGCTTTGAAGCAGTATGGCTTTTGTCAGTCCTATCATGACTACTCTCTTTTTACACTGCATCGTGGTTCTGTCCATCTGCAGGTCCTGGTCTATGTTGATGATCTGATTGTTTCCGGGAATGATAGCACATCTATTGCGGCCTTCAAAAGTTATTTGAGCTGTTGTTTTCACATGAAGGATCTTGGGTTGCTCAAGTATTTTTTGGGTATCGAGGTTGCCCGAAATTCTTCTGGCTTCTTTCTCTGCCAGCGGAAGTATGCTCTTGACATCATAGTTGAGGTCGGACTTCTAGGGAGCAAGCCAGCTGATTTTCCATTAGAGCAGAATCATCAGCTCGCTCTTGCTGAGGGTGATCTATTGTCTAATCCCGAGCGATATCGTCGTTTGGTCGGACGTCTTATCTATCTGGTAGTGACTCGACCTGAGTTATCTTACTCGGTACATATACTCTCTCAATTTATGCATCAACCACGTCAGGCTCACTGGACTCTGCTCTACGTGTGGTTAGATATTTGAAAGGATCTCCTGGTCAGGGGATTCATCTTCGTCCTGACTGCAATCTTCAACTCTATGCATGGTGTGATTCGGATTGGGCGTCTTGTCCTCTCACTCGACGCTCTCTTTCTGGTTGGTTTATTCAGCTGGGTTAGTCTCCTATTTCTTGGCGAACCAAGAAACAACCTACTATTGCACGCTCTTCTGCTGAGGCTGAATATCGGGTGATGGCTACTACATTGTGCAAGTTGAAGTGGTTACGGGGACTGTTATCTACTCTTAGTGTCACTCACTCTCAGCCTATGCGGTTACACTGTGACAGTCAATCTGAACTGCATATTGCGGCGAATCCGGCTTTTCACGAGCGCACTAAGCACATTGAGGTGGACTGTCACTTTGTTCGAGATGCTGTTCTTCAAGATCTCATTTCTACTACTCATGTTCCTTCTGGGGAACAACTCGCTGACATCTTCACCAAGGCGTTTGGGAAACGTGAATTTCATTTCTTTCTTGGCAAGTTGGGCATTCGGAATCCGCATGCTCCAACTTGAGGGGGGATGTTATTGTGTATATTTGTGTATTTACCGTATTAGCCTTAGGTTATTTGTAGGCCTAGTTTTGTGTATATATTCTTGATTTATAAAGAATTGTATCATCCGATTGTGATGATGCTTTTCCCGAATTCATCTCGTCTCCTTCGTATCAAAACTTTAGTCTACCGAAATCTCCATGACTCAAGAAAAAGAAAAATAAACAAGAGAAAACATGCGAGCATAATGATCCTAGGTATTCTAACACGAGCTTTCTACACTAAATCATCACGGTTTGAACAAAGTCGAGACATTTCTAGATAAGCACGTATCGAATCCTAACATACAAAAGCAAGCAACGGAAATAAAGCAAAAACCTAGAATCGAGCATAAACACACAATTCGACAAAACAAACTCGAAGTAGAAGGGCCTAAGCAAGGTACCTACTCTCTTATCGAATGCTTGAACGAAATAGTGAATAAAGCCTGAAACTTGGATAAAAATAAAGTTACCGGAATTTCGTCGGAAAAGTAGAGTCATGTATCTCCAACCAAAGCATAAAAAATTAAAAGAGAGAAAATTGAAAGGATTTTCCAACTGAAAAGTTGGGAAATGAGGGGAGATATCCAAAAAATACAAAGCACAATGTCTATTTACTGCTACACCTCAAACACAAACTAGAAACACACACATTTACTAAAATTCTGCATTGGGCGGGTCTCGAAACCAGTTTCGCAGAGAATGTGGGCATGGAGTAGTGTAGCTTGGCGCGTTCGCGGGTCGCGAAAACAGTTTCGCAGCGAGTTCAAGGATTGGGTAGCTGTAGATGTGCGTTTCGTGGCTCGCGAGTTTAATTTCACAGCAAGTGCCTAGCCTTGCTCTCTTGCACACCATCTCGCGGTGCGCGAACATGAGTTCGCAGCAAGTGCCGCAGCATGGGTCTTCTCTCATGCATCATCTCGCGGGGTGCCAAATCACTTCCGCAGCAAGTGTCGCGGGCTTGTGTGAAGCGCGTCTGTTCGCGGGTCGCCAATTGCGTCTCGCAGCGAGTTCAGGCAAGCTTCTCGCGGGTTGCCAAAGCCGTCTCGCAGCGAGTGCCTCGAGCGTGATGGGTTGCCTTCGGGCTTGCTTTGCGGCTCGCGAGTCGCGTCTAGCTGCGAGTGTTGGGACTTCCTTGGGTTCGACTTGCGTCTTGAAAATGGCTCGAGATGGATTGGAAGTGGTTCGTATGGCTCGAATAAGATTCGGACATGGCTGTGAAATGGCTCGTCATCCCGACTCGAATAATGTGTACCTAATCAACACCAAAATACGCAAGAACAATATGACGAAAATACAAAAACGCATAACGAGAAAAAAATACATAAAACACGACAAAATGGACCGGTTGACACTAAAACGATATTAAAAACACTCAACTAAAACACATAAAACGCACGAAAATAAGCAGAAAAAGGCAATAAACAAATATCACTAGTTTTATTATAAACTTTCACTGCCTTGTTAACTTGGATGGACGCAATCAGACGGCCGAATTGTCCATTTTAGTTGACAGAGAAGATCAAAGTGAATTTTGTAATGATTTACATTAAACCTCTTCATAAAGCAACATAATTAATTACTGAACCATTGTTTATAATCTATCTTTTCTTCACATTTTTCGTTTTCTTTTTAATTATTATTAGGGCATGTGGGCCGGGCTCAATAGTGACATACAGTACTTCGTTTTGAAATCTTTGTTATTCGGCACACTTTACAACTTTGAAACGTCTCCAGAAAAAGTACCATTTGCTATAATACGATTTCCAAATAGGTCCAAGAAGAAGCATTTTTTTCAACATAACAAAGACTGTGCATTACAGCTTTTATTTTTATTTAATAAGAAAAAAATATCGTGTTTTGTGATTTGATGTGTAAGAAATCGCGGAAAAACGAGTGCGGTCTCATGTACGTGAAGCGCAAGCCTAAGTGAAATTTTATCTCAAAATCAATTGGTTGAAGGTAGGGGTGAGCATCGGGGCGGTTCGGTCAAAAACCACACCGCATCGCGCCGC